CCACTGATGTCTTACCGGAAAGGTTTACTCCGAGTAAACCTTTCAGGGAGAAAATGCCTCTCTCGCGGACGTCAGGGTGCTGCTATCTAATAGAGGGAGACTCCCTGAACATCTGGGAGACTTGAGATCCCTATATATGAATCCTATTTGTTCTTGTACATTTTTTTTTAACTATACCTTAGTGATGTGGTAAAGGGTTCCTTATGTAATCAGTACAATTTAAAGGTGAAACTTAAAAAAGAAAGCACATTCACCACCACTTTCAGGATTCAAACAGAATTTCTCATTCCATTACATATCTCACAAATAAGAGCATTATTCCTCATTTCAGGACAGTGGGTGGAGCCAAAAAATTATTGCTTCACAGCCTACTGACAAGATGCACATCCTGAACTGCTGGTAAATAGTGGACATATAGCATAATAGCATAGAGTCATTTATTTCAAACTATGTACAGCTCTTTCAGGCTATTTGGCCATCAGCAGTGTGGTGTCTGGAAACCATATGAAAACCGTATGGGAAAACATGGCTTCTATGGAGTTTTGTCAAACTCCAACGTAAAAAAAATGATTTGTTCCGCAGTGACTCTTCCTCCAGCAAATAAAAAAGTTTTGACTAAATTTGGGATAGCAAACATCTAACAAGTCTGTACTTACCGACTTTCAGCAAGTGTACCTTTTAAAAATTTACTACTACCATTAGTTGTAGAACAAAGTACAACACAAAGTTCGGCACTGACAGCAATAGAAGTTTCAATTAAAGCAATTTCATTTACCTGGAAAATGGTTAATGAGTCTTGAACTTTCTGTACAGTATGTCTGAAATTTTCACCTACAATTATCTCTGTAATGTCATTTATATTACAATTTTAAATTAGGGGAAATAAAAGCATTGTTGAAATACAAATAAAAAAGAATATTTGCATCTATGATGGGTTCTACATCTGTTCAGCAGAACTTACCACAACTCAACTACAATAGACATTACAAATGGTTTTCAGAGGTCCTGACCTCTGGACTGATCCTCAGAAGAATGAACCAGGAGGGAATGAGGATTTGTGGTGCTAGATGCCACCAAACACAAGTGGCCCTGGGCCTTAGTAAAAATACAAATGCAGAGGGGGAGGGTGGGTTCTTCTAGGTCAGGATTTTGAATTGTGGCCATTGGGAAGTAGATACTTTTTGGTACTGACAGTTTGATGCACAAAGTCCATGAGAAAATGGAGAATCTATTCAAATGACCAGAATATTATTTTTCAGATTCAGATTTTTAGTCTCAAAATTGTATTGCTATTTGTGTTCCCATTGCAGTGATTAGCCCTCTCTATTTGTCCTGGTGGCCATTGTCACCAAGACAGAAAATACAGATAAATCTAAAATGTTACAGCTGTTACTACAGCAACAGGTTATGGGTAAATCAACCATTAGGAATGAAATGTGGTGATCCTGTTGGTTGAGAAAACAAAAAGTATTAAACAAAGCGTAATGACAGGTGAGTTCAATACCACCACCACCACAAGCCCCACCCCCGCCCCATCCCACCTCAGTCATTGCGGTAGGGGTCGTGGCACTTCGTTTTCTACTTTTCTCAGCACACACTTCGGAGATCCCGATCCGGATTCAACAGAAGCCGTACACCAGCACCAGACACTGGAGCCCCACAACTGTGATTTTTGTCATGGGTCCACTTATGTCATAATGTCATAAATGCTATGTTTAGACAACTATTAATTATATGCAAATTAGTCCTTTACATTTCATTTACAAAAATTACTTTATATATACAAAATAGCTTGATACAAAAGAAGGAAAATAATTTTGCTTTGATTTCAACATGAAACATACCAGGGGAAGCTAATAATATGTGTTAATGAACACATTCTTTTCATATTGTGCAAAATAATTACATGAGCACAATAAAGATGTATAGCTATCTTTGGACATCTCCCATGAGAGTTATTTCTGTGATTTCCTGTTTCATTTTACAACATTATTTTGCAGTGCTAATATTCATACTACAGTGTACATATCTTTCTATCACAGGACAAATGTAATACAGGAAATGCAATTATGCCAATTAGAGCATTGGTCTGATGATTAAATCTAGCATAACATTGTTTCAAGGGAATATCTAATTTATTTATGGCACGTTAGGATATACAAATCACATATAATGAAATCCACCATTTAGAACGCAGATACTTTGGGCTTACCCTAATGCTAGTAATTTTATTTGGTACCAGCCCTTTTAAAAGAAACAGATGCAGTGTTTTATGAACCATGTTTTGTTATTTATTAACATGTACCTGTCCTAACTTTTAACGAAGGTAAATATAAGGTAGACACATATAAAGCATTTTCACATACTTCACTTAATTCCTTAAAACCGGTGGGAGCCCTGAAATCTCTTACCAGGTGCATCTCTATAATAAGGCAGCCTGAGGCAGCATCTCATTGGGTCACGTGGCCTTTCCAGCCAGAGCGTCGCAACCTGCTAAGAGCTCTTTGCAACCTGTGGCGCTCTGGCCGGCGTCCCACCCAGCTCCTGGCAACCAGTGACATCAGTGAATTTGGTGGAACTCCGGACAGAGCCGGAGACAGAGGCACTCTGCCAGTTATTATTATAGGAGGATCAGGATTACAATGTGTCAATGTGTCATCGTTGTGGTGCATGCCACTAGGGACACCCTTGTCTCTATCACTGTATTCAGGGCAGAGTTCATGATGGTAGATGCTGTCCCTACTTTTTTCACTTTTAAGTCAGAAATGATTAGACTTCTCAACTCTCTCTAGATGAATATGAAAGAGCTTTAAACATTCAGTTAACTACACCACAAAAACACAAAGCTGATTTTCTCCTTGTAATCTTCCATCAACAACAGATATCTGGAACGGGATATACAGTACATTTCTAATTAGTTGATAGAGACCACAAAGTCTCCTACATATCTATAGCAAGCTCCTTCTAGGGATGCAGAATGGATACCAGGGACATCTTATATATTTTCTGTTTCTACCTGAAACTTAAAAACTTTGGCTGTATTCGATCCAATGTTTTTCCTAACACAACACAATTCAATTTCATTAAGAAGTACAAGAGCTCCATATTGGTTCACCAAGTCAAATCGGCTCACTGATGCATCCTAAAATTATGGAAACAATTCTCTCCACCAACAACAACAACCATGTTTTTTGATAGAATTAGAGATATCAGACAAACGGAAGACCCTGCAAACTCATTAAATAGTTTGTAAAACATGGCATGGCCAGATTGAATACATCAATTCAAAGGAGTTGATTTACTAAAGGAAAATAGGCTGTTCACTTTGCAGGGTAATTTGCACTTTTCAAAGGAATTTTGATTAGCTTAGTGAATGTGGGGAAAATTCACTTTGTAAGGAATACCCAATCACGTGCAAGGGAAATTTAAAAAACACTGTTCTTGCCTGCACATGATTGAATGATGAGGCAAAGGGAAAATTCCTTTGCAAAATGAACAACTAATTTGCCTTTAGTAAGTCATCTCCTTAATGTCAGCTACAGCTGCCAGCCATAGAGGCAGGACCTGTAGCACATTTTTCAAAGAGAAAAAATAAAACCTATTTTGGTGCAGTTATTGTAAATGTTGTTTGCCTGCAATATTACTTGTACATCCAGTCATTGAATCTCTGTCTTTCCCATGCTTTATAATTGCTTTTTCTGGAAGAGCAAGTCACCCATTTGACAAGCCAGCAATTATTTATGTAAAAGTTGAAGAAATATGAGAGTAACACTATCAGCTGCAGAATTGGTACCAACAAAAAACACTGTACCATTTCTATCTCATTTCACCAGTCAGTGCAGATGCACCTTGACTGCAGTCCAGTTAGGAGGGCTTTCCATTTTGAATAGATTAGATTAGGGGCCGTGAAATAATCATATGCTTACTTCAGAGCCAATTAAAGAAAATCCCATGACACTTTGGTAGCATGTCATGTGAGCTGGCATTTTAGGTCACACAATCTGCAGCAATTCTCCATACTGGGTGCCAATGTGAGCATGGAGTGCATTCTGTTTCACTGAAGACTTGGCTCACATCAAGGCCCCAGTGCATGTGGCTACAACTCCAGTATACATGAACAGGATTCTGCTTTATACATCCCTATGATAAATAGTGGATTTTCTTACCTCTGACCTGCTTTCCTAATTCCTGAACAGTCTATTGAAGCAGTTCTAAACACACAACATATACTATTCTGTTTTAACATCACTATTGTAAGAGGAATACTTACTACAGCTGTTTTGATAATGCAATCAAAGCTTACTTGAAAAATATCTATTTTTTTATAATGGGTGCTGCTTTCTGTGTGCCCATCACTTTCAACAACTTCCTACTGTTTGATGTGAAGCAATCTTGATTTTTCAAAACTACATAACCCACCATGCATTGCTTCCAGCGAGCAATGATAATGTTACATTGTTCAGACCTTGAGTTGTGGTTCAGAAAGTTCTAACAAAAGTAATTGCAAATTCATGGGGCTGAGTGAAATCGTGTCATTTCAATAAATACATTTACAAACTTCTACATTGATATGGTTATTAGGAGTGTGATAGATCTTAAGGAAAATGAATATAGAAATACATATTTATTTTTAGTTTTTGACTATAGATACCCTTTAAAGCATATCTAGTGTAACTCTATAGTTTAGCTCTGCTTTCATTTGGAGTGCAGGGTATAATGGGAATATAATATCAAGGACTGCAGCTAAATTACACATAGTATGGTTTGAAAATGAACTTTATCATGTTTACTATTGCTTATATATATTGATCATATAGAACTTGCCCATTTTTCATGCCAGAAAACATAGTAACATGTATAGGTGAACTACAAATTTTAATGGATATTCTGTTATTTTTTTCAGTTTGTGATGTGTTTGTGTTGTTCCCCCATTAAATTCATCGCCCCATTGTGTTGTAATAAAACATAAAGAAGTAAGCCTGATTTGTTCTCCTTTGTAGAGCCAAGCCGAGGCACACTACAAAGGCAGTAAACATGCCAAGAAGCTCAAAGCACTAGAGTCAACGAAAAATAAGCAAAAAATGGGTTCGCTCAAGGACAGCGCCAAGGCTATTACAAGTGCAACGGCCAACCACAAATCAGGTTAATAAAACTGTTGTGTTTATACTTCACATGTTTTTTCCTTATCTGTGTGATACTTAGCATGTCTGTGTGGTTTTGTGTACAAAGCTAATGAATGTCTACAATAATGTACGTGAGAGCTTAAAGCTGAACTCCTGGCAAAAATGTTTCAAACCCTTGCAGTGGCACGACCCCCGCACTGCAAGGGTTAAGTGTTTGTTTTTGTCTGGGTGCTAAAAGAAAAGTTATAATCACCTGATCCTTTGAGCCGGCTTGCTCTTAGACTGGTCGCTGGAGCCTCTCTCCCCCTCTGTTGCAGCAGTTTAAGGATCCTTGAGTCATCACGTTCTATAAACAGTGTATAGGACGTGAGGACGCTAAAGGACATACCATTGCTGCCGTGGAGAAGGAGACAGGCTTCAGGGACTGGAGTAACAGCCAGCCAGCTCTGCGGTTATTTTTAAGCACCTAGACAGAAAACAGTGTGGGGGTAGCCTCACAGCAAGGGCTAAAATCATTTTTGCCCAAAGTTCTGCTTTAAAATGCAAATAAAGCCAAATCTTTTTCTTTTTTTTTTCAGTTTTGGATAGAGTAGTGAGGGGTTAAAAACCTGCCAAGTTTAATGGCTCCCTGCTGGGGATATTCAATCCATCCATTTCTAGTGGCCATTGTCACTGTGACTAAAAATGAGAAAAATCCCAAATTGGGACTTGAGAGTAAATCTTATGGGGACACACGTTCCAGTGACAACTGTCTAAGAGGAGATTTTACTTACTTGGATTTCCTCCTACTTCCTGTTGTATCTACAGGACATGATATGAAATCTCCTCAGTTTGACTCAGCAGAAAAAAAACCTCACAGTGGTTTTAACAAATCCCTACCTAGCAAAAAAATTGGCTTTAGATAATACCTTAGTCTGCACACCTGTTGTGATCATAATGTAGGGTCTTCCCCTCTCTGTCTTGGAGTTTGTTTTCTTTTATATTGTGGAGAATGCAATAATTAGAACATGCAAAAGCAGGAACACTCAAAACTGTCAGGGGGCGAGTAACAGAGTAAGGACATAAGACATATAAAGACCCAAGGGCTGACTTAACCCACAAGTTTTTACATATGCCAAAATATCATTTTTGGGAAGACGAAGCTTTAAAACGATGAATCCTTTTTTACATAACTCATCTGAAATCTGTAAAATATATGAATCAGTATAAACCATCATTGATCATGCATAATCTCTTCTTTTCTCCCTTTGTTTGCATGAGCAGAGGTTACTGTCATTAAAAACATATTTAAATGATCACTAGATCCAGAGGTATAGGCATGGGAACTTAACTGCAAAACTGAATTTAGTTCCACCCCCTTCTACACATACATACATTATTAATCCTACTGTATCAAAAATCAAGGATCTGTTATTCTGACCCCCCCAACCACCACACACAATTGACAAGGCCAGTTTAAAACACATAAAACAAATTACCAATACAGAGTGTAAAACAATGTACCATAGACCCCCATCCCCCAGCCACTTTGCCATGGCAAAGGTGACTTTCCTCATTATGGGATTTTTGATGCAAAGTCCACTTTATTATGATGGGTGGTTTCACTCACCAGTGGGAGGGCACAAGTGGGTCAGATACAAGCTGGACTTTGATTGGAAAGGTTAAAGTGGACCTTTACCCCCTTTGACTAATAATCACATCAGCATACAGCTCTGAATGCTGATATGAAATCACCTTACATTTATTAGCTAAACAAACATATGTTTATTTTAGTTACAATTTCTTTTTTCACTTTCTGGTCCACTTTGGTACAAATTATGTAATCATGCCCAAGCATTGCATCCTGGGAAGGTTACATCAGCAGAGCATTGCTGGAAAATCTCATCTGCAATCTCACGAGACCTCAGGGAAAGGCATGTTCCTCCCCTCAGATGATGTGCATGGTCACATGTCCTAGCCACATCTGCCAGAGTTCCAGGAAGTAAAGGGAGATCTAGTAACTTGCCCTTAGTTAAAATATGCCACTGTAAGAAGAATGGGGAGGACAAAAAAAAGGTTATGCAAGAAAATATAAAAAGCCTGCAATTATCTAGAAGTATCTGTTTGTAGATTCTCATTTCTGAAGGTGCCTTTGTTGTTATTTTGAAGATATGGGTAAAGATCTTCTTTAAGATTTGCATATATATTTTTTAGCCTATATCTGTATAATGAAATGCAGGTAACCTCTACTTAGACATGTTTTCATGCATGCTTAGTTTATATATTGCCTAGGTTTGTGACAGGTCTACTTTAAGCGTTGCATTATTCATGAGTGGACAGTGATACAAAAATTCAGAAGTCTTTAAATTCAGTCTAAAAGCCAACAGGCATATTTATCCCCTTCCAGCCGGCAATCTGTATATTACATTTCCCCATGTTAAGGATACGTTAACAAATCCTCCCAATCCAGTTCCCAATGATGATAGGGAATCAAATAGAGTGATTTGAAATCATGTGATCACTCAGCGATGACATAGGGGTCTACTCACTAAGCTGCCGTAGGCAACCTAAAGCGAAGTGAGCCAAACGCTGTTCGGCTATTCACTTCAGGCTGGTACGGCTGATTTCAGCTGTATATCGGCTGAAATCAGCCGTACATCGTGTGGCTTTGCGTGGCTTCGGTTGGCCGAACATGCTCAGCATGTTCGGCCGACCTGAAGCGCAGAAGGAGTTCGACTCAGCCGATCCAACATATGGATCGGCTAAGCCGAACCTCTGACAGGCTACTCGCTGCTGTTCGGTCTATTCTTATAGATGCCGAACAGCAGTGAGTGAATAGCCGAATGCCGCTGGGCGGCATTCGGCTCGGCTGTTCTGCTCGGTACCTCTGTGGGACCAAGCAGAACAGAAAATAGTTAAAAAAGTAGAAAAATTAAAATAGAAAACGATTGTGTGGAGGTAGCAATGACAGCTAGCTCCGCCCAACAGTTTTCTATTGGCCGGCGGTTCTGTTGCCGTTAAAAAAAAAGAAAGAAAAAAAAGCCTAACTCTCCCGGGCGCTCCGGGAGTCTCCCGCTCCTGGCCGCCAAGGAGAGAAACACTGCTTTTTCTTTTTTTTTATTCTTACACGCGCCGTGTCAGAATAGAAAAAAATAATTTGACCACAGGAATGCATTGCTAGATTCCTATTGGCTATTTCAATTTGCAATAGCCAATAGCAAACTAGCTATTTTAACCGCCCCCTGCTGCTGTCAATCAGCAGTGGGGACCTTATGGAGAACTGCAGCAGAGGGCAGGTGCAATGCTAGTTTGCTATTGGCTATTGCAAATTAGAGTTAGGCTGTCTGGAGATCAGTGTCCCTGGTTAGCTGGTAACCAGGGACGCTGATCTCTCTGCAAGTAGCCGGAGCCAGCCGTAATATCACGGCTGGCTCCGCCCATCTGTCAGAAGCAGGCTGTCGGCCGGCCAACGGCCGGCCGCTCGGCCAGCTTCGTCTTTCAGCGCGACTCAGTCGAGGCATATGCCTTCGGCTCGACTGAGCCGCTCGGCCAAGTTTGGGAGCTGTAGGGCTATAATGAATAGCTCGTACAGCAGCCCTTCGGTTCTACTGAACCGAAGGGGTCCTGGGGCCGAAGGTAGCTACGGCTAGATCCTTCGGCTGCTTCGTGAATAGACCCCATAGTGATCACAAGCAGGCTGAAGGCTTCACTGACAAAAGCCTTTAGCCTGCAGATGGCACTGCGGATGCCACTTCAGCATGGAGTCGGCTGTGTTCATATGGAAGTACTTTAATTGTTAGACATAATTACAATATTTTTTTTTAAAAACATTCATTAAAAAAAGTAGAAAAATAACAAATGTAAATCACCTCTAGTATGTGTTTGCTTCTAATAAAAATAGAGAAGGGTTTTGTTAAAACAGTGTACCCAGTAGAAAAAACCTCATATCTCCTCAAAAAAATGATTTAGGTATGCAAATGAGTTGTAGAGCTAATGTCAAGTTAACTGACAGATGCTGCCATTGCTGTGTTTTCATTAACAATTACAGAAAATGTTCCATAAAATTGGGAACCACTTGTATTTTCCGGAGTTTATTCAGCCCAGTCATAGTTAGTTCATACATATATAAAAAAAATAGAAATGACAGACTTATTAAAGCTGGCCAGGTATATATTGTAAGATGTGGTGGGGGGGAGGGGAGTTACTTGTGTGCAATTAGGGTTTTCAAGCAAGCTTACTATTGTACATACAATGTTGTCCCTCTGTGTTTGTTATCTGATTACCCACCTATGCCGCTACAATAAAACAAAACCTGTTTGCAGTGCAATGTTGTCCAAAATATTCTGACATTTTATATTAGCAACATTATTTACAAATTACAGTTCTCACTACTTTGAGGCCTTTATTGTTTTAAAATGTCATCCAGTCATTTCAGGATTCAGGCTGTGGAAAAAACAAATGTACTTACGTAGCTTAGAAACAGATTTTTATTCTGCGCTCAGATATCTTCCAGTAGAGTAAAACATGTCTCACAGCTGTGTTTTTACTGAAAAGTGTTTTTACATTTTTTATGATTTGGCCATTGTATATACACAATGGTATAGAAGCCTGCTACAAAATCTACTGCCTGCAAAACAGGCATTGGAAGATCTGTTGTATATATCTGGTCTATAGCAGCCCTTTTTGTCACTAGCACAATTAAAGGCTTCTGTGTGACAGTCTAAGCAGATCTTAAATGCAGTTACTATGTGATTATTTTATCTCCTTTGAGTCAGTCAAATCTTCATTCGTTTGTGTCTCACACGCTCCCCCTCCCAGAGACTGCAGCTCACAGTGGGAGGGCATCCAGGGGACAATTAGTTCTGCCATTTCAGATAGCAGTGGGCAGGACTAGGTGTGGCTAGGTGTTGATTGAGCTATAGGCTTGTCAATCAACAGTAACAATACTAATAGCCATACCCCTGCAACATCTTCTCATGAAATCATGAAATATTAGTGTGGGTCCATTCACACCATATTAGGGTCCATTCACACCAGTCC